TGAAATTGATAACCCCAACAACATACTCTCCATCTAATTCGTTCAAGTGTTTGTATTCCTCTTTTCCATTGTCAAACTCAGCATACATTTAATATTGTCTTTGCATTTAAAACTATAATCAATTGTTCGCAAGTCTTAAATAATCAACAAATCAATAACTAACTAGGTCGTGAGTCCTTTGGGAACGATACTGGTCTTACCGAGTTTATTACTTGATACGATTCGGTCATACTTGCCGCGAGGGTTAAACAAGTTTTTGGCGCCGTTTTTCGGTGTTCATAAATTTGTCATCACCTTGCCTGAGGGCAGACAATTCAAAGATGGTTAAATCCTGGGAACGGCAGCTAGCAAACTGCCGTTCGAACATGGCCTTGAGGCCCTCAAAACTTTCTATGGAATTGGGGGCAGAGAGTTGAACCACTCTAGGGCTTCTCCCTCGAGGGATAAAGAAAACGCCCGACACCAGATTGCCCAGTCCCCGGTCCGAAATGTCATCCGGGTAGTGAACGCCTTCACATGATCGTCAGGGTCAGCCGTCCTATCGTAAATGTTGAGCTACGATTGGACGAAATGCTCGGATATATGGACATCCATGATAGCTTGGACGAAAGGTAGGTGATCGGAGGTATCCTCGACCTTGACCACCAACTGCTTGCTCAGGGTTGCGCTCTCCTCTTGGTCGGCCTTAACCTTACTTCCTCGACCTCTGACTCGAGCGGTTTCCAGGTAGGATCGGGCATGCTGCTGTGCTCCGAAACACCTTCCTAAGCGGCCTTGCCATGCTCCTCTTCGGTTTTGTCTCCCACCCCTGATCTTCTCTCCTACGCTATGCGGGCTGAGCACTCGGCCCGCACGGCCACCATCTCCGCTTCATGTCGATGCTGCAACTCCTCCATCTGTTGTTGTAACATCCTTATCATCTCGATCGGGTCCTCACTGCTCATGTTTCTCGTGGTCACCATTAGGTTTAGGTACTCGGCCCCACGGTGGGCGCCAAAATGTTCCTATATGGGGTCGAGTCACCTAAATCATTGGGCTCTCAGTCACGTCCGTCCAGTCTCCTCACGATCTGTCCTTCGACTAGTCTCTATCCGTTCGTCCTGTGCGCTTGGAAGGGTACCTGTTAAAGGTGCTCTGATGCTTAAGTCAGTAAAAAGTCCGATCGGTTGTTTAGTGCCGCAATAAATGTGCAATTAATGAATCTGTCTACCTCTTACCTTTGACTTGTATTTATAGTTTTGGTCATGGGCCTAAGATTAGTAGGACCTTAATCACGGCCAAATTCCGAGCCCAACCCTCTAATCGGTGTTTTACCTTAATCACCTCTACAAACCTACCTGTCATGACCGTCCGAGTTAAGTGTTCGAGTCCGACCGGACATCCCGGGTGCTGGTACCGTCTGGGGGTCATCTGATACATAAATACTTACATGTATATAACTTTTGGCTCATATATCTATTTATATTTTTTAATGTATATGTTATAAACTGAAGTTGATTGGTGAAATAGCAATTATAATCAATAAATTATACACGAAAAGTTTGAAATTCTAGTATATTTCATGAAGATAATCAATATATAATTGTACGTTAGATTATGAATATAAATTATTAATAAGCAATAAACCTTTATATAAATAGAACAATTTTCAATTCGACTCAAACCAGAAACGGAAACTTATTTAGGTTGGTCACTGAAAATAAAATAGATTAATTGATATGTGATATTCTAACGGCAGAGCATTAGTTTTAGATTCTCTTTTGATTTTCTCTTTTAATAAAGATGAAAAATAAAAATAAAAATTATATAATTATTTATATAGAAATTTTTCATATCCTTACCATAATTTAATTCATTAAATTACTTTAATAAATTAACTAATAAAATATAATAACTATGATACAATTAATAATTTGTTACATATATATATATATATATATATATATATATA